TAATTACTAGAGATGTTGAATATTTTTTCATATATTTGTTGATCAGTTGTAAATCTTCTTCTGAGAAATGTCTGTTCAATTCCTTACCCCATTTATGGATAGGGTTATTTGTTGTTATTGTGGGGTTTTTTGGTGTTAAGTTTTCTTGAGTTCTTTATATATCTTGGAGATTAGTGCTCTATATGATGTGCATGTTGTAAAAATTTGCTCCCATTTGTTAGGCTCTATCTTCACCTTATTGATTGTTTCTTTTGTTGATAAGAAGCTTTTTAGTTTGAATTCATTCCATTTATTGTTTCTTATTTTTATTTCTTACACTTTAGGAGTCTTAAGGAAAGTTTGAGCCTACTTTTTCTTCTATTAGGTTCAGGATCCCTAGCCTAATTTCTAGGTCCTTGATTCACTGTGAGTTAAATTTTGTGCACGGTGAGAGATACTTAATTTCGTTTTGCTACATATGGATTTCTAGTTTTTGCAGAATCATTTGTTGAAGAGGCTTTTTTTCCAGTGAATGTTTTTGGCACCTTTGCCTAGTATGAGATAACTGTATTTGTGTAGGTTTGTCTCTGTATCTTCTGTTCCATACCATTGGTCTACCTGTCTGTTTTGGTGCCAATATGGATTTTCAGTTTTGCCAGCACCATTTGTTGAATAGGCTCTTTTCTCCAGTGAATGTTTTTGGCACCTTTGTATAGTATAATATAACCATATTAATGTGGATTTGTCTCTGTGTCCTGTATTCTGTACCATTAGTCTACAAGTCTATTTTGGTGCAGATATTATGCTGTTTTTGTTACTATAGCTCTGTAGTATAGTTTAAGGTCTGGTATAGTGATGCTTCCTGCTTCACTTTCTTGTTTAGGATTGCTAGCTATTCTGGGTCTCTTATTTTTCCAAATAAATTTTACGATTGCCTTTTCTATTTCTATGAAGAGTGCCATTGGGATTTTAATAGGGTTGCATTAAATCTGTAAAATACTTTTGGTAGTATGAATTTGCCAGAACGTAATTGAGACTTTTTGCATGTATGTTCATCAAAGATATTGGTCTGAAATTTTCTTTTGTTGATGTGTCTTTGGCTGGTTTTGAAATAAGAATGTACTGGCCTCATAGAATGAGTTTGGAAGTGTTCCTTCTTTTGCTATTCATGAAATAATTTGAAGAGTATTAGTATTAGATCTTCTTTGAAGGTCTTGTTAGAATCTGTCTTGCTGGGTCGATTCTTTGTATGTAGGCTTCAGATGGTATCTTCTATTTCCTTGCTGGAAGCTGATCTGTTTAACTTGTTTATATTACCTCGATTCAGTTTGAGTAGGTCATGACTCCAGAAATTTGTTGATGTCTTTGATATTTTTTATTTAATTGGAGTACAAATTTTCAAAATAGTTCCTAATTATCTTATGTATTTTAGATGTGTCCATCATAATATTTCTTTTATTATCACAGATGTTAGTAATTTTTCTCTCTCTTTATTTGTGTGACAAAGGTTTATAAATTTTATTTATTTATTCAAAGAACCAACTTTTTGATTTGTCAATTTTTTTAATTGTTTCTTTTGTTTCAGTTTCATTGATTTCAGCTCTGAATTTAATTATTTCCTGTCTTGTACTACTTTTGATGTTGATTGTTCTTTTTTTTTGGGGGGGGAGGCTTTGAGATGTAATGTTAGGTCCTTTATTTATTGACTTTTTCTTCTTTTAAGGAATGAATTCCATGCAATGAATCCCAGAGATTTCAACATGTTGCATCAGTATTCTCATTTACCTCTAAGAATTTTTAAATCTCCTCTCTGATGTTTTCTGCTATCCCTTGCTCATTCAGTAGCATATTATTTAGTCTCCAGGTGTTGGAGTAGGTCTTTTTTCATTTTATCATTAATTTCTAATTTTTTTCCATTATAATCTGATGGCATTCAGGGTAGTATCTTTGTTTGTATTTGCCAAGATTTTCTTTTTTTTATTGTTGGTTGTTCAAAACATTACATCTAATTTGATATATTTCACAGTTTGATTTAAAAGGGTTATGAACTCCCATTTTTACCCCATATACAGATTGCTGAATCACATCAGTTACATCAATTACATTTCCATTGATTTACATATTGCCATTCTAGTGTCTGATGAATTCTGCTCTCTATCCTGTTCTCTACTATCCCACCCGATTTCGTCTGATCTCGGATGCCAAGAGTTTCTTTGTGGCATAATATATGGTCTATTTTAGAGAAGGATCCGTGTACTGTCAAAGAAGAAATTGTATTCACTCATTTATGGATGAAATATTCTCTATATCTCTTAAGTCTAAGTTACTGATTGTATTATTGAGTTTTATATTTTCGTGGTTTAGCTTTTGTTTGGGAGATATATCCAGTGGTGAATGAGGTGTGTTAAAGTCACCCAGTATTATTGTGTTGTGGTCTATTTGACTCTAGAAATTGAGAAGAGTTTGATGAATGTAGATGGCCTTTACATTTGGCCTTTTCATGTTATCCCATAATTAATTGTTTGGGGCATAAGTATTTATAATTGTTATTTCTTGTTGATGAAGATCTGGGTTTAGAACTCTGAGAGATCCTAATTGATTTCCTCCTATATGTAATCTGATTCCTTTGTCTTGTGGCTTTTAAATTTCTTTCTTTATTCTGTATGTTAGGCATTTTTATTGTTATTGCCTTAGTGTAGATCTGTTGTGATTTTGTACACTTGGTATCCTATAAGCCTTTTGTATTTGATTTTCCAATTCATTATTCAGGTTTGGAAAAGTTACTGATATTATTTCATGTATAAATTGTTCAGTCCTATGTTTGGAACTCTATGCCTTCTTCTCTCCCAATAATTCTTACATTTGGCCTTTTCGTGTTATCCCATAATTAATGAATGTTCTGCTCATGGTTTCTTACCATCTTCACTGTGTGGTCAACTTTACTTTCAGTTTTATATATTTTGTCTTCATTGTCTGAGGTCCTATCTTTCAAGTGATCCAGTCTGTTGGTGATAATTTCTATTGAGTATTTTAATTTGGTTTATTGTTTCCTTCATTTCAAGGATTTCTTTTCCTTTTTTGGTAGAATCTCTATCTCATTATTGAAGTAATCTTTTGCTTCTTGTATTTGACTGTGTAGCTCTTTATTTAATTAACCTTTTGTTGCCTATATTTGCTTTCTTTAATTCACAGAACATTTTAATTACATACATCCCGAACTCCTGTTGGACATCTCTTCTGCTCTGCTGGCCATTGGTTTTAGTAATGTATCTTTGTTTGTTTAGGGCACTTTCTTCCCCTGTTTTTTTTTTTTTTTATATTGTTTGTCTTTTCCTTTAGCAGTGTAGATCCAAGGTATTACAGTTTTTACCAATAGATTTACAGTGTCCCTGCAGAATTCCATGACCTCTCTTTTCAGGAGGAGATCAATATTAACATATCCCAATGCAAACGATATGCAGGCTTAATTAAACCAAATAGCTTTCATTGAGATGTTTCCTGTTTTGTCACAATAGACAGAAATGGTAAGTTTTATTATTATTAACAATATAAACAATAGGTTGCAAAAGGACCTACAGTTTATAATGATGGACAAAGAGAGAAGTGGGGGCGGGTTTAGGATGAGATATTAAGGAAGTAGGAGATGAGGATATAGAGTTATTAGATCTTAGGAAACATAAAGGAGGAATCAAAAGATGTTTGATAGTAGCAGGAGAAAAGAGACTTTGAGGAGATAGATAAGTGGGAAGGGGAGAGAGAGGGAGGGAGGGAGAAAGAGGCTAAAACAACAAATTATTTTGCCAATATTCTGTTGAGATTTTTGCATCCATAATTATAAGATATATCAGTTGGTAGTTCTCCTGTGTTTTCTTTGTGTTAATTCTTAGGATTAGGTTAACACGGGCATTTTAGGATCTAATACAGTGTTCACTGTATTCTATATTTAGAAAACAATAGATATTTCTATAAATGTTTGTAAAGAGGTAAAGAATTGGTATTAGTTCTTTTAGTCTTTGGTAGAATTGTCCATGAAAAATCTGGACCTGAGCTTCACTTTGTAGAAAAGTTCTTAATTTCTAACTTAGTCTCATCACATGATGTATGTCAATATATGTTTTATATTACTTTTTGTGTCAGTTTCTGTTGTTTGTGTCTCTTTAGGAATTTGTCTATCTCATTTATGTAATTTATATAATTATTGTGATAATCTGATTGTTACAATATCTTTATATTTCTTTCTATATTTATAATTTCAGTATTTCCCCAGTTTTTATTTTGAATGCTACTAATTGTAGCATTTCTATTTCTGGGTCAGTGTAGCTATTAGTTTGCCAATTTTGTTTGTTTTATTCAAAGAATTGCATTTGTTTTCATTAATTTCTTCTATTGATCTTATTTTTTATATGATTAGTTTTCACTTTGATCCTTAATATTTTTTTCCTTCTGTTTCTTTTAAGTTTAATTTGCTCTTCCTTTTTTTATGATTTATTGTGTAAAGTTTGATCATTCATTTGTGATCTTTGTTTTATGTAATAGATAATAATTTTCTTCTGTACAGTGATGGCTTTTTCTCCATTACACAAATTTTACATATTATGCCTCCTTTTTTTCTTTCAATACTTTATCTATTTCACTTTATATTTATTCTTTCATCCAGTCTTTATTTAGGTGAATATTGATTAATTTGCCCATATTTTGAGTTTCCTAATTTTCTTTTTAATAATGCCTTCTGGATTCCTCCCATGGTGCTTGAGAAACACATGCTCTGTTGGTCCCATCCTGACTGCTCTTTCTTGAAGAGCATGATTAACTGCAGCATCAGTCTAAAGCCTAGTTTTATCCAAAGACACGCTATTTCAGTATACGAAGGGAAAAGGGGTCAGGGTTTTCATCTTGCTCCTTTAGTCACTTCACAGAGATAGAAGGGGCCACTGATTTCAGTGGTATGGTGCTGGCCCTATATATGACATCCTCTTGCTCAGCCAGTGTACTGGAGCCCAATCAGTGGTCCCAGCAGAAACAGTTTCTCTTTAGGAACCCTTGTGACTTCCACTTTTCTGATTGGTAGAAAAGATGTAATTGCTTCAGGTAAATTTTACATTTTTCACTGAAGTGTTCTTTGTTTTTTCTTTTCCCTGCACCAATCTTTCCATTCCTTACTCCAATTAATGAGGCAATGAATATCTCTCTATTTCCAAAGGATGTCACAAATTTTTTAAAGAAAGCTATAAAGAAAATGAAAGACAGTCGCCTTCAAGAGAAACAACAGGTAAAATCTGGTGGTGGATACAGAAGAGGTTCATTTTTGATAATTTATTTGCCTATTAGTATATTACTTCCATACTTCCTTGTATATTTTTAAAAGATATATGAAGAAGAACTCTTGGTTGAGAGTAGTAGAAGCTTTCCATTTGGGGAGAATAAAAAATTTAGCATCTGGTAATTAAGAAACAAGAATGAATAAGAGAGGGAACTGAATTAGAGTAAGATATATTCCATTCTTTTATAATTATGTCAAAATTGACTCTACTCTCATATAACTAAAAAGAACTAATAAAAAAGACTTAAAAAATAAAATTATATATTCCAAATACTGAAAAAATAATGAACCAGAGAGAAATCATTTACAATTAAATAATGGGCATGGTAATTAGTTTGTCAAGGCATAAATATTTCTTATAGGAAAAGTCCCAAATGCTCTAAAAAGGAGTTCTTGTACATTGTTGAATAGATCTGTAAATTAGAATAGCCTCTATGGAAAACTGTCTGGAGGTCCTTCAGAAATCAAATACAGACCCACTGTATAATCCAGCAATCGCACTATTAAGTGTATAACCACGGGAAATGAAATCCGCACTCCCATGTTTATTGCCACACTATGTTAAAATTGTCCTTATTAATTGAGCCAAATCAATTTTGAAAATATTCATCATCAGGAAATGATAAATGCAGTTAAAGATGTGTCTAAACTGACATAAACATCAAACAGCATATACATATATCAAAGTAATAGGGTACCTTGTTAATATGTAGAACTTAATTTTTTTATAAACCTTAGGGTTTGCTCTTTGAAATATTTTTTT